AACGAGTGTATTAAAGGTCACGGTAGCGTAATACGTAGTAACAAGTGAAAGAGAACGTAACTACGTGGAACTTATTTCGAAGATTTGGACGTCAACGTGGACTCATTTAATGAAATGTGTGACATATGTGGATACGAAAGAAAGATTATTTATACAAAGCTTTGTAATTTGCATTTGTTTTTTATACAATATATTGGATATCAATTTTATAACCTATATTAGGTAAAAGAGAATCTTTTTTATTTTCTTTCTTGATAAGGGAAAATATGATACAATTATTCAAATAAACATTTTCCAAACAGTTGTCTAGTTTTATAAACATTCACATATGAGTCATACAATACAAAAAACGGAGAGAAAGACGCTGCTTCGCTTTTATTAATGTAAACGCGTTTGGAAAGTAACATGAATGATTCAAAGTGTGACGGATATTCTGGGAAGTCATGTTTTGCAAAAAACGATTGTGATATAATATAAAGATAAAATATTTGAAAATGTTTCGTGCAATACTTTGTGAGAACGTATTGAAGAAAGGAAAGAAAAACAAAAGAAAGAATTTTTCACACGCACATGTACATAGGATGTGTGCATTATTATCATTATGTCCATAATGCATTATATAAAATAAGGTCATTGACATAAGTGTTGTCCTAGGTCGTACGTGAACGAATATTCTCACGGAAATTCACAGTCATTTAACTGTATGTGCTTCATTTGTTACGAAGATATATATCTTATTATAGCTTGCGCCAACAAATATTCATATAGGTGCGACTATATATAGCATGTATGCTGTACTTGTTGTAAAACGTTCTTATTAAATTCGCTGCAAGCGTGACAATTTAGTTTTATTGACACTTAGTCTGTGTTAATGAGTCGATTATTTTAATAAGATTCGTTTATAAACTCACGAGGAAACAAATATTCTTATCGAGTTATCAATTCAAAGTATGCTATTATTTTTATTTAATTATTTATTTATAAGTGTTAAAAATATAGTTTCAAAATTAATTAACAGAAAATTGTTAAAGTAGCTGAAGTGAGAAGTAAAATGCCAAATGGATTAGCATTATTATTATGCATTGCTATTATTTTCATCAACGTCTTGATCGCGAATCAAATGCAATTTGAAACAATTTACGATGGAAGCACATCGATTTTGAGTGGAAAGACAAGAGTCACAAAGAAGCAGCGATCGCATCGGGTGATTACAATTATACGAAGCCCGTGATGGTCGATATTGACTATGTGATATCAACAATTATACAAAAATTATTTACATTTACTTTTTTTTTATTATTTCGAAGTATACTATGACGAATCAGTGTCAATATAACAGTGTTAAGTAACAATGATTCTTTTATTCATTATTTTAATTGTTTTGTCCGTTCGCCAGATAGATATACAGGGTGTCCCGAAGTCCCATGATGACCCTTGGTGAGAACGTAGAACGGATTGAGGTGAGCAAGAAAGTCCTGTGCCGTTTTGCGATATTCGCAATAGTTTTTGAGAAATTAATTATTTTGTCTCAACAAATCAGCGTACAGAAAGCGGCAGCGGAAAGAAAGATGCCTTCGGCCGACGTGCGACCG